CCCCCCCCTTTGTAATCCCGATTAGAAACGAATCTTCGAAAGGGGACTCCAGTCTTCCCTTGCTGGTTTGGTTTTAGTTGCATCAAAAATCCCACAAAACGCTATAGCAAGAGGCAGAGAAGTAATTTCATGCGACTCTTTCTGAATCGGAGCAAAACATTCAAAGCTCGGGAAGGGAAAACTCATTGAATAGCCTTGTGCTAATTATAATACATTGTTACTTTCGATATCAGATGGATCTGCGTTTAAAACGAAGGCAAAGGGGATTGGATTTGACTCCTAGAAATCTCAGTCCTGTGCTTGTTTTCAACCGGCTTTATTTCCCCCTTGAAACTACTTACCAACAGATTAAAAAAATCGCCGAGTGACTAGACATAAAATTTTATTTTGAAATGAGGGGAGAGAAAAAGTCATTTGTTTTCTAGTCAGGGCGAGGGGGAAAATCTATGGAATAACTGAATGCTAAATTGTGTACTTTGTTTAAAAAAAAGAGCGAAATTGCATTTAAAAAAATTGTTCTCTGAAAACAAGAGAAGGAAAATCTAGGGTCCCCCCCCCTCTAGATTTAAGGATATTTGGATTCTTGGAAAATCAGGCCCTGAGGTTTCCCCTTAAATTATTCCGGGTTCTGTTCCAATTAGATACGAGGGGATTTGAATTGTTTAGACTATTTTTGTGGCCTCTCTAAAATTAGGGTTAGCATAGTTGAACTTTCGGGAGTGTATCAGTATCTGTGTATTAATGTGTTCAAATATGGTAACCTTCACTAAAATAAAAATCTCGCCCTACCCACTTTCCCGGCCGTGCAGGACCCTGCGGCGCGTCTAGGATTATTTTTTTTTGGGGGGGGGGGAAGGGGGATGTTTGCATTGTTGCAACAAATGCCGACAACGCGATTTTCGCTGCCCACACCTGAGACTTCTGGGGCCACGTTTTCATGACTAAAATGTTCCTCCTTCTCCCCGAACAATGTCCCATTCAGTTACCGGAGCCGCTGGCGAGATGCAGCGTCTGGCGCGCTGGAAAGACGCGTGTCCTGGCGACTAGGAATTGGGGTTTTAATCTGGATTGCGGGGGAAGGAACCCCACGCGCCACGGGAAGGGTTCCACGAAAGCGGCTGGTTCGAGGTGACTCTCCTTGCATTCGGAGCCGGGGTTGGTTTTGTTCCCCCCTTAGACTGGGTTAAAAGGCACTTTGTTGGCGTGCACGCGGGCGGGGAATGTGGTGGCCGAATTTTGCAAACTTTTTGCTCTCTGAATAAAACCCAAGCAACCCATAAAAATATGATTTCATTGAAAAAACGTCTCTGTAGATTTCTGTTCTCGGCAATTCCCAGCCCTGCAATCAGCCGGGTTCAGTTTGTTTATGGATGTCAGGGTTGCCATTTTTTTTCCGTTTTCACATTTTTTGAGAAGTCTCTTAATTCCGTTTGAAATCTCTTGGCACGGGTCAAGCGGCTGCTTTTATCGGGGGGGTTTTCCCCGGGAAAACTTGCTTCTCCGGCTCTTCCAGGCCGGAGCATTGGAGTCCCCTTCGCTCCAATTTACTTTCAATTTTTTCTCATTCGGATCGATCCTCTAGGTTCGTTTCTCGCCCCTTCCAACTGCATCGAATTTTCCCTGCGCTCAACCCAAGCGGCTCCCCGAACAGCACAGGACCAGAAACCAACTACAGAAAGTGAAATGAACCCAGGCCAACACGCTTTTATTTTCTGCCTGTGGTGCACGCTTAGACTAGTACGGATGTCCTAATAATATTTAGCTAATTATATTTATTTGCCTTCCAAACATTTAATTTAATTAGAAAACTGTTCCCAAATCCACCCTTTTCGCTCATTCTCTACTGACATTTCATTATGTTCTTGTCCTCATGCCAAATATTCTCCCCCCCCCCTCAAAAAAATATTCCCCCAACAATATCCTTTAGGAAACCACACAGTCTCTGGGAGTTGATGGCTTCTTCAGGCTTGTAGCTGGGATTTATGGGGAGGTTTTTTATCAGGGTTTCTAGCGCCCATAACCGCCCTTCACTGTTGACCTGTGTGGACCCTCTCCCTCGGTTTTGGGGCTGCGTGAAAATTCCCACGGGTTGCAAATTCTCCGCAGTATTTTAAGAAGGGGGTGAGTCCAATTTGCAGCTTCCCCCCCCCCACACACACACTGTCGCTCTCCCCTTCAAGACAGTAGGTTGCAAGTAGCAGAGAAAATAATTAGCTGGAAATCAAAGATTAGTCTAGGAAATCGGGGAGAGCTTTGGGCGGATGTGGCAGCGGGGGCATTAGCCAGCCATTAATAAATCTTTCTCCCGAGCTCTGACAAAAGCTGGACCCTCCCCACAACTCTCCCTCGCATCCAAACTTAGTGGGTCTGGTTTAGGATATTTTTCCCCTCTGCCCTGTTTCTCATGCTTTGTTCCCTGAACCCAGCTTCCCCCCCCCACCCTCCCTTTTTTGGTGCGTCTCTCGTGCATTGCTTAATTTCTCCTGCAAGGGGCTGTGGAATCAGCCCTACGAGACGGTTTTCCTTTCGCCACAGCCAAAACAAAATTCGCCCCATTTTTTTTAAATCGTTCCTGCCCCTATCTCCGCCAGCGCCCGGGCAGATCCGGGGAAGAGACCCTGCCTCAAGCGACAACGCATCTACCAAGTTCTGTGGGGCGAATCTTTGCAGGCCGGCCCCAAACTCGGGCGCCAGGCGTGTGGCTGGGGTCTCCTGTTGGGAGTGTTTGCGGGGCTGCTGGCTGCACGTGGATCTCTGGGTGAAATGCAGTTTTTAAAGAGTTCCCAAATTAATGACAGAACCCGGATTGCAGAGGGCTGGCGCTGCGTTGTGTGTATTCTTCTCTCCTGTGTTGTTGTTGCCAGTTTATGACCTTTTCATGCTGTTAAAAGGAATGTCTTGCCACATCTCATTTTTGTTCCAATGAGATATGGAAGGGGGAGCCCGGCATTTTGAAGTAATTTGATAAGCCATCAAGTAGCAAATCCGAAAGGGGGGGGCGGCTGACTGTTCCAGGTATAGTTTTCTTTATAACCCGAATTTACAATGAAAGCAGTCTCCTTTATGGATATAATAGATTAGATTTCACAACTTGCTGCAGCCGAATGGTACCGTTTAAGGAGCTCCGACTGATTTTTATTACACTCCGCCAAATTGGATGTTTGTGCTTTTAAAGGGAAACGGTTGTGACATGAAGATATATAATTTTTCAAGTGAAAAAGCAGGGAA